TATATGTATATATATATGTGTATATGTATATATATATATATATATATGTGTGTGTGTGTGTGTGTGTGTGTATATATATATATATATATATATAATAAGTCAAAGTTAATGTCAACCTAACAATAAACATTCCCTTTACTACACAAACCTTCAAACATGTCTGGGCATGTCGTTTTATTTATTTATTTTGCCTTTACGTCATCGGTTTACAGCCAGTAGATATTACTCCACCTGCTGTTCTGCTGACCGTCATACAGCAAGAAGGAGAAACAAGGTAAGCACAAGAGCTTCATTTACTCGTGACCTGAAATTCAGAATAAATAATAAGTGAATAATAATAAGAGTGAACCGATGTTTGCGTGTAGATTTATACCTTTAATTTGTCTTGTAGCCTAGTTTATTTTGACAGCTTACTGTAAGTAGGAAGTGTAGGATAGCCTACTTCCTGGATTTTAACTAAATATTACAGTTAGTTTAAATACTATGAAACAACTATATAATAATATGTATAATATAACTACACATTAATACAAGCTATATACAAGTTATGGTCCTGATTGTTGATGTGACTCCGAATTGTTGATTCATGACATAAGCGGCTCTATGAACCGACTCCTTTAAGTGAAGTGGTGAGAGTCGCGAGAGGAGGATACTTGCTTGTGTTTGACGCTAAAAAACACGATTTACTTTTTATTAGAAGCAAAAATGTGGTATTAAAAACATTTAACACAATTCGTCTCATTAACACACATTACCAATCAAACCCAGGAGAGTATTTGCTGAAATATAAAACCCAGAAGTAGAAGAGCCGTTTCGGAGTCGAAAGAGTCGGTTGAGTTCAGCCAAATGATAACCATCAAATAAGGGACCGTCTGAAATTTATGTCCATTTTAAAAAACGTCAAACTTGTGTTAACATACAAAGTCGTTAAAACATGACATTTTCAATGTTTCTCAGTGTGATATTTATTTATCAACAGATGAGTTTGTTAATTCCTCTTAAAGGGATAGTTCATAAAAAAATTAAATAATCATTTAGTCTTTAAGTTGTTCCAGACCTATTGGAATATTTCTTTTATTGAACACAAAAGCAGATATTTTAAAGCTAGTAACCTGTTACCATTGACTTTCGTGCATAAACCACACAAGATATGTAGTACTCAGCTATTTGATGATGTCAGTTCAGTTTACAAATTTTCATATCAATTTATTCTTAAACATTCTGCTTCTGGATGGCCATTATACTGTATAGTTTAGCTCCTACCCTAATTTAACACAACTGAACGAGTTAATCAGAATCAGAAAGAGCTTTATTGCCAAGTATGTTTGCAAATACAAGGAATTTGTTTTAGTGACAGAGCTTCTACAGTGCAACATAATTACAGAGACAGGAGAATAAACATAATAAATACATATAAAAAAGCAGTAAGAAGTGAGAAGTCAAGAATCAAGATCTTACTAGAATCTTCCAGACAGGTTTGTTGAAGAGCCTCTATTATGCATTCTAAAAGGTCATATTTAGGTGTTAGGGTTCTCCAACAACAGGCTGATATGCATACAAATTCAAAAAACACTTCCATTGCCCTATAAAGCATTTATTTGTTCAATGACTCCCATCTCCCATATTACTTACCCCATTTACTTCAATATAAAATGATCAGTAATACATTTTCCCCCCAAACCCCTCTTTGTGTTTGATTATCCAGTCGGTTGTGATTGATCAACTGTGTTTGCAATTGTAAATAGAACACTGTTTATGTCACTGATCTCTTCATGCACTATTATTGAATATGAAACAATTTATTTTTTTTATCTTAGGAATGGTCCAATGTCAACTAACCTAGACGCCCAGTCAGATGAACTGCTTGCTCTTGCAAGCATATATGATGAAGAATTGTTTCGCAGGACAAAATCAAGTCAGAAGGGCGAGATCCATCTGTGCCTTGAGCTTCCTTCTGACTTCAGACTGCTAGTAAGAGGTGAGATGGAAAACACAACATACTGTAATTTTGACATTATAAGTGAGAAATGAAATATGAATACTGTACTTTTAACTGTGATAGACTACCAGGATGAACATGATTCTAAGGCAAATAGACTTTTTGCAATCAAATTGTACACAATTTAAAAGTAGACTAAGATCTGACTATTTTTTCACAGGAATGAATACAGTTTTAAGAAATTGAGTTAAGCATATCAGAATACTCTGTGGGAGCTAGTTTTGTCTATGAAACAGCAATAACATTTCTTAAATTTCCCCTCAAAATTTCAACTTTATTTTGCAATAGCTTTTTTTATTTTGTTTAGTTTACTTTCAGATAGGTTTAGGCGGTAATATGGTATACCGTGGGATCTAAAAAAAGCAACGGTGTCAGTTTCATTACCGTTATACTGTCATAAAAACAATGCACTTAAATAGGAGACAAGTATTGAACATTATTTATTTAATGCCTACAAATGCATATGCGTGATTGTCATCACAGGACAGTGTGTAGGAGAGAGAGAGAAAGGGAGAGGTGATGTGGTGAGTCGCGCACCAAGTGACCTGCAGTTTGGCAGTATTTCCGGTTTCGACTGAACGAGAAGGGAGACGTGGTAAATACGAACTTGAGGTCTGCTGTACCGGGATCCGACCAGATATCTTGCGGTGCAGGAATAAATTTCTGAATAAAGCGCGGGAGCAGTCGATAACTCTGGTGTAATTTGAAAGGGAGCGAGCATGCGGTCTAACAATATCGCTCCCTAGCAAGCGAGCAAGCACGCGCGCATCCGTGTGGATGCTGTTTGTTTGTGTGTGTGTTTGATGATTTTAATATACTACATACTTGAAGTTCTTTGGCAATACTGTATTGAATGTCATGCCAATAAAGCAACTTGAACTTCTGCACAGATCTCTAGACGAACATGACAAACAGGTGACCGCGAACCTAAAGTCGCATATACAGTATTCAGTTTCTGAATGGTTTAGGCAAGAGCCAACAGTTTGGTGACGCTGTCTGAGCCTTACGTCATAATTTTTTTATTATGCACTGTAATACCGGACACCGGGGTAAAATAGAGAGGAGGTTTGACGGTATCCAAATTTGGATACCGCCCAAGCCTACTTTCAGATAGCGGTTTTGCATGTGCTCTGAATTGCTTTTGTTTTTCTGCATATGTTTCCTAGGGAAGACATGCGTAGAGGTTGATGTTTCCTTTTTGCCGTCCACGATTTTGAGTTTTGAACTACCCACAGACTATCCTTCATCATCAGCTCCAGTCTTTACTCTGAGCTCCATATGGCTTTCAAGAGTCCAGGTTTGTCATTTTTAGCAGTTTACAGTACATGATTCACTGTTTGCATATTTTATTTTATTTACATATTTAGTTTAATGTATTTGTGGTACTTTTTGGCCTTTTAATTTTAAAAATAATTACATAGTTGTTGTATTTATTAAGGTATTAAATTGAGATATTAATTATTCAAAAGATCACAGCTCTTTGCAAGAGACTGGATGAACTTTGGGAAGAGAACAGGGGCAGTGTGGTTCTTTTTACCTGGATCCAGTTTCTAAAAGAAGAAACCCTGCAGTTTTTGAACATCCAGTCTCCACTCGAGATCCAAACCAATGGTGTCCAGCTTCAGTGTGAATCTGCTGAGTGTCAAGCAGCTGCTGCTGCTGTCGAAGAACTGGACCAGCGAGCAGTTCAAGTAGCTGATCCTCACAGTGATATATTAACCCAGCTGCTGGATTTTAATGAAGCTCAGAAGAAGAAGGTGTTTGAGGCCACAGTTTTTAACTGTGGAATTTGCTTTACTGAGAATCTGGGCTCCAGCTTTGTGCTCTTCAATGAGTGTCAGCATGTGTACTGCAAGACCTGCGTTAGGGATTACTTCGAGATCCAGATTAAAGACGGCAAAGTCCAGTTTCTCTCCTGTCCTGAGGCTGAATGCACCTCCCTGGCTACTCCTGCACAGGTACTTTTTCTTGTGTGTTTGTGTCGTAGTATGAGCTGGAGACCCACTATCCTGCAGGGTTCAGCTATAACTGTAATTAAACACAGCTGAAGCACCTAATCAGGCTTTTCCGTGGTCACACTGCACTTATCATCCCATAAACTTTCATACATACATATGCGAGTGCAGCAGACCCGAAACGCAAGCTCGTACAACAAGTTTCGCAATTCGCCAAGTTCAAACTTGCTGAACTCTGACCAGCAAAATTCCATCACGTGGCTGTGTGAGACCAATAAAAGATCAAAACATGACCTCTCTGTACAGAAATGTATCATTTGGGCCAATAGCTTGCTTTTTTAATGTCTAATCATCTTGTTTATTCCCGCCCCTTTTCGCAGTGCCGTACGACGGAATGCTAAAACTCTAGTTCAGGGGTGGCCAATCCTGTTCCTGGAGATCGACCTTCCTGCAGATTTCAGTTGCAACCCATCTTAAACACACCTGCCTGTAATTATCAAGTGCTGTTCAGGTTCTAATTAATTGATTCAGGTGTGTTTGATCAGGCTTTGAGCTGAACTCTTTAGGAAGGTCGATCTCCAGGGACAGGGTTGAGCACCCCTGCTCTAGTGTGACCACAGCACAATTCATATAGGGCTAGCTGCAGCCTGCGGTGGACCATTCAACCCTGTCAACATCCAAGTTCAACATCAGATGTTGTAATGCACATGCTTACATTGAGGGCCAGGCCAAGTTTGTGTGTGGCGGTTTTGGACTAGATCCAGCACATCATTGCACTTTATCAAACTCAGTTCTTGGAGGGCCTGAGCCCTACACATTGAAGTTCTAACCCTGCTCCAACACACTTACCTGCAGGCTTCAAACAAGCCTGAAGGACTCAATTAGTATAGGTATATGTGTTTAATCAGGGTTTGAACTAAGCTTTGCAGAGCTGGGGCTCTCAAGGAATTGACACCCCCGAGCTACAGACTGCAGTGAGGAGGCAGTGGCTTCTGACAGTGCCTTTAGATGTGGACGGGGCTGGATGTACATGGCAGGCTGCAGTGAGACACTTCTTGTATAATCTGATAACAAACACATGCAGATTTGCTGAAGAAGGTTGGAAATCCACTTTGCAGGACAGTGGGTCCCAAAAAGCAGGGTTAAAGACCACTGCTTTATCTGTCTGAACAGAAGTTTAAGAAGTAACATCTTTGCATTCCTACAACAGGTGAAACTTCTCGTGAGCCAAGATGTTTTTGCCCGCTATGATCGGCTCCTTCTGCAGTGGAGTCTGAACCTAATGACTGATATTGTTTATTGCCCTCGCAAAAGCTGCGGCATGGCTGTGATGCTCGAGCCTGACCGGACCATGGGCATCTGCCCTTCATGCAAATTCGTTTTCTGCACCCTCTGCAACCGAGTATACCACGCCCTCGCTCTCTGCAAAGAAAGTAAGATCCTTGTGGAGTGTCTCTTTATTCACACAAGAAATATTAACCACAGTCAGTTTCAGTAGTATTGTAATTTAAATGTATGGATATAAGTAAAACCTTTTTTTTGCAGAGCAAATAATATATGCTTCATTAGTTAAACTGTGCTGAAACACGAAAAAAGATTCTTTGTGTGCACATGACTTAATGTTGTGGAGTGCTTAAGGTTAAGAAAGGTGCCTTCAGGAGCTTCATGAAAGTTGTGATGGTCTGAGAAGTTTGCTTTGAGGAAATTAATTTCTTTTGAGACGATCAGAGAGGGTGAGGTCTTGGAAAGTGAATTAGTGCCTAATAAAGAATAAACAGCAATAAACAAGTGGCACTTGTATAGTTATCAGAACTAATGTAAGGAGTATACTAAGTTGGGTGCAAGTATTGTTGAATAAATCATATTGCATTGCTCATGAATGTCACCACAATGTCATTAGTAGAAATGTGAAACTCAAATTTTTCTTAAACCTTAGGGTGCTTTCACACCTAGACTTTTGTTTCGGAACCTGTCTCGTTTGCCCAGTTAGCGCGGTTCGTTTGGCATATGTGAATCCACCAGTCGGTCTCAGATCCGCGCCAAAAAATCGATCTGAGATCGCTTGAATAAGGTGGTCTCTGCTCGATTGAAACGAACTCTGGACCCAGAGCCGGAGCAAGCTGAACTGCCGCTCTAGGCAGAGGACTATCATGCCGCCCTCAACCCCAATATGTGAAAACGAAAGTGACAGGTTATGAAAATGAAGTGAGGTGTCGCGGACCTCTATTCTGCCACCCTATGCGCAGATATAACTGAGGACGCGCGGGTGCTGAGGGAGGGAGGGAGATGTCGCCGATGCTGCTCTCTCTATTCTGCCGCCTTATGTGCGGAAATAACTGAGGACGTGCGGGTGTCGCAGACCTCTATTCTGTCGCCCTATGCGCGGATATAACTGAGGACATGCAGGTGCTGATGTAGGTGTCGCTGACGCTGCCCTCTCTATTCAGTCGCCTATGCGGGAATATATCTGAGGACGCGGATGGTAAGGGAGGTGTCGCGGACATAACTGAGGACGCGGGTGGTAAGAGGGGTGTTGCGGACGCCGACCTCTCTATACTGCCGCCCTAGGCGGGCGCCTAGGTCGCCTCTATGGACGCGCCGGCCCTGTCTGGACCGGATCGATTTTAGTGAGAAAGCGAAACGATCCGTGCGCGGTTATATCACAGTGTTTTTTGGATATGTAATAGGCATACGGCTATATGAAGAGAGAATCATAAGTAGGACGGGAGGTCATTCAACAAACATTCCAAGTCTTCTGCAAATGCACAGAGACTGCCGGATGCCCGCACAAGAGTGATAATCTCCCTGTAATCGTGCGTCTCCTTCCAGGTCCTCAAATTTGTCGTGCACTCTTCTCAACCCTCCCCACCGCATCCGTCCTCGCTCTTCAGACACGTCGCGGGCACCTTGTTAAACACCACCAAACCACCACCTCCCCTCACAGCTGAGCAGGACTCTGCAAAATAAACTGTGAAACTTTGACCAATGTGAGAAGAGTTTGCTCACATGTGACTTGTTTTAGCTGTTTTGGCCCAATTAGAAGCTTTGCAGTGTGAAAGCGAACCGCACCAGGAACAAAGAGCAACATTGTAACAATTTTACGTGCAACAACTTTGACCATAAACACAAAACAAAACTTTCCATCCGAAGCTCCTTCACGAGACTCCATTCTTGTAAATTATAGCTCCATCAGGCTCGTGCGGCTCTAATTTGTGCCCAGACTCGTCAGCGCTACCATGCCGACTAATCACAGAGCTTGTGTTACGCGACGTTGCGACGTGTAGTTACAATTTTTGAGAGGGGTGCGTCAGTGACAGCCACGGCGTAGGGCTATGCGTCAATGTGTGGGCTGCGCCATAGCATATGCATGCGCTTGACGCAGAAGTATAAATCAGCCTTTAAGTGGAGAGGGGTGGAGGGTGAGGGGCAATCGCTCTCGGGCACGGTTTAAGGCAACAGCGCCTAGTGTGAGTATACCCTGAGATTTAAAGTAAAGATGGCAGAGTCCAGTTTCTTTCCTGTCCTGACTCCTGAGGTGTGTTTGTTATGGTTAAAGCTGAACTGTGCAGAGCTCTGGATTGAACACCCATGCTTTACCCCCTCTCTCATCCACTCAGTGACTTTGCCTGGTGTCCCGCTCATCCCCAGCTTCTTCCATGCTTCTCCCATTGGCTTTCCAGTGTCGCTAACTGGTGATTTGAGTTGAATACCAGCAGTGAGATCAATAATTTGTAGTATTATTAAGATTTTAGCACTTTTGCTTGTCTTCTTAAATCAGAAAATAAGATGAGATTGCACTATTTTTTGGTTTTGTAATTTACTCCCTTTTGGATTTAAGGAATGTTGACATACCTGGTATAAATATTGTATGGTTTAGTTATTTTTCCCCTTTTTATTTCATACTTAATGTTGTGGAATCTGTTTCTTGCATTGTTGAAAAGGGTATTGAATATCGATATTTTTTCAAGGTATCATATCAAAGTTACAAATTCCAGTATTTTGACAACACCCCTGCCAAAGTGTTTATTTTATAGTTCTCTGTTATCAGTGATTTGGTGTTCAACTGAGACATTTTTAGTAAATACTTTTACAATACACTGTTTCAAAGCAGCCGTTTACATTATATATAATTTCATAAAGTGCATTTTACTGTTTTTATTTTTAAATGACATTACATTTTTACTCTACAGTACAAGAGGAGAATGAACGACACGAAAAGCTTGCAATAATAAGGAAAGAGGATGAAGTGTGGGTGAAGCATAACTCGAAACAGTGTCCAACATGTGCTGCTAACATACAGGTGAGCAACTACTAGCTCAGAGATCTCATTTTTCTTATTTAAAGGTGCCATCTTTTTATGGAATTATAATATGATGATTGTTTTAGTCATTAAAAGTGGATTTTATTTAATTTTTTCATAGAAGGAAATGGGCTGCAATAAGATGACCTGCAGCTCCTGTCTGGAGTATTTCTGCTGGATCTGCTTTTCAGTTCTTAACAGAAATGACCCCTACAGCCACTTCAGAGATGAGAAATCTCCATGCTTCAACCAGTTAATAGATGTTGAATTGGTTGACAATGGAAACTGAAAAAGAATGCACTTCTTCATGTACTACGTCTTCTATTCACTTGCATCCACTTGTGAGGGGCTTTGTTCTGGAACCAAAGTGTAAACGAGTAGAACCTTCCAGTGCCGGTGCATGGAGGAGTTCAAAACCTTTACACACTACCACAATTGATTTGTACTGATTACAACAAATCCTACACCGCAAATTTAGGTGCTGATTATTTAGTAGGAACAAACGGTCAGTCAGCTACAGTACAACCTCCAGTGCTAGTCAATATTGTCTTTCAAGAGAATTTGCCTACAAAATCTCCTCAAAGTATGTGCTCAGTTTGTAAAGATGTCATACACTAAGGCCCAATCCAATCAAATATGGATATTAGCATGCAGGCTGTATTCTCCTTTCTGATTGGCCAACACTGCTTTATTCTAACGCTGCATTTGTAACAGTGACCAGCAAGTGAAGCGCTGTGCAGGGAAACCTCACTGCCCTGAACCCAAAAAGGAGCTGCAGCAACAGACACTATCGGCCATGGTCTTTAGCCTCCTTGTTAGAGCAACCAACTAGCATGCGGAGAGTCGTAAGAGGGTTACATTGGTGCCGTGGCCCGGATAGGAGTGAAGTTTAGTGGGTAATTGTAACGGAGGCCAGCTAGGGAAGCACTGTGCAGGTAAACCTTACTCCCCTGAAGCCGAAAAGGTACTCTAGTGACAGATGATAGAGGCCATGGTCTTTAGCCTCCTTGTAAGAGCAACTCTCCCATGCGGAGAGTCGTCGGTTCGATTCAAGCTCGGAATGGGTTGGGTAGTGTAGGACCAGCAGGGGTTACACATTCACACTAGCATCGACAATGACCACTGATTTCAATGGGGTAAAGTCTAAAAGGGATACAGCTGTGGATACCTGCATCAATTTAGCGTAATTTTTGAGACACTGTACAACAATTCATATTTTTATATGTGAGAGTTGGGTTTAAGGTTGGGGTAGACCAGGTGTGACCGAGCCTGTTCCTGGAGATCGACCTTCCTGCAGATTTCAGTTACACCCATGTAAAACACACCTGCCTGTAATTATCAAGTGCTCTTCAGGTCCTAATTAATTGGTTCAGGTGTGTTTGATCAGGGTTGGAGCTGAACTTTGCAGGAAGGTCGATCTCCAGAAACAGGGTTGAGCACCACTGGGGTAGACAATAATAAAATACAATTTAATGGGTAATTTAATAAATAATATGAATAATACTGGGTATAATTACTGTTTTTACATTACAGTGATGGTTGAGTTTAAGGTTGGGGTAAGGGTAAGTTAATAAAATACAATTGAATGGGTAATTTAATAAAAAATATAAACAATACTGGGAATAATTACTGTTTTTACATTAGAGGTGATGGTTGGGTTTAGTGTTAGGGTGGGGGTAGACATTTATTAAATGATATAAATAATTCTTGTTGATTTCCGGCTGTTGCTGAATCCCTTCTTGCAACAACTTTACACTGAACAGTGAGCGACTGACCGTTTGGAAATCATGTATGTACGTGTCAAGCGATGCAACAAAGTTGAGAATCCTTCAACTTTATATAGGCATTTTCAGCAGATAAATAGCTGCAATGATGACTCGGCATGCCTTTGACAGTGCACCACTTCTTGATGACAGAGTTATCAACAAAGGCATGGGGAAAACTACCTGTGTACATCTGAACATGCCTTAAATATCCTTACATAAACACTCCAATATTCATTTGCACTACAACCCTGCTCTTTTATACCAAACTGCAGAGAAAAGCATCTGCGGAAGTCAAAGATCTCAAGTTGTTCCTGTTTAGTTTGTGTCTGTAGCTCTAAATGTATATATTGTTAACATTTCTCCAAAAACACGGGCATTTAATCTGGGTTGTGAATCACGATATAGAGAAAAACTTTACATGGTTTCTAAACACGTTAAAAACCCAATAGTTACAGCAAATTTGAAACTGGGGGTTTTGGATCTGGATATCTTTCTGCCCTAAATGAAGTGCTATAAACCATTAAAGCTTGCTGAGATACAGTCATTTCATATTTAAAGTTACAGTTTATCCAAACATGAGATTATACTAACTATAATTATTATAATAATATTGTTTACTCGGCAAGGCAGTGGCGCAGTAGGTAGTGCTGTCGCCTCACAGCAAGAAGGTCACTGGGTTGCTGGTTCGAACCTCAGCTCAGTTGGTGTTTCTGT